TTTTTTTTTTATAAAAAAATTTCATTTTCAGAAGATTGAAAGGGACCAAGTCCCAGCAAAATTAGTTTCAACGGCTGAATCAAATAATCTTGCGTCGATGGAAAGATTATCAGAGTAGATTGCTGGATAACTTCAACCAGAGTGACTGTCAGCAAGTAGAATTTTCTAGTAAACTTTAAAATGACCATTCTGAATCAAAATTGATGTCGTTGAGTAGGCGAAATATTTCATTGTTGGCCTCAAAAACCCAATAATTATATTTTTTGACAGTTTTTTGACGTTTTTTGGCTACAATCTGAGATATAAGTTAAAAAAAATAGTTTTTTTTATTTATGATAGCCATTCTGGAAAGGCAACGTCAGGACCATCAGCTGGATGAGGGTGTGTGAAAACATTTAATCGTATAACTTCGTCCATGTTTTCTGTATCTGTCTCTTTCTCTGCTCAAATCCAGGTCTTCGGTGTATTGAATTGGCTTATTTGCATAATTTTCTGTTGTCTTCACCACAAACCCAGCAAAATTGTTGAGTTTTAATCCAATAGTATATATTATATTATATATATATCAGACATACATAGCTAGCATAGTTCGGTACACCCAGAAGTGCATTGGCTATAATTTTTAAATATAATATAAAGATAGGTATTCAGAAGAAAGTGCTTTGCCAATAAACAAAGAAGGAATAAAATCATATCAAAGACGTTGAAGTGATCAAATCGGTGCCGTGAAAAAAAGGTCATAATCGTAGCCGATATTCTTCAGGGAAAGCTTCAGCAGTCTGCAGTAGAATTGGGTCAGGCAAAGTTTTAGGCTAGCAACGGGTGGCTTTAAAATTTCGAAATACAAAGGGATATTGCTTTTCGAAAAGTTTGTGATGAAAGTGGTAGTGTTGATGAAAAAGTATGTGATGATTAGAAAGACAAACTGGCAAAGCTGGCCGCCGGTGACGAGCCCGAAGACCTCTTCAACGTTGAATTCTGTTCTGGCGAACCTTAAAATTCAAAGGCTATACATGTAACTGTACTGCTGGAAGCAAGTTGTACTGAGACCAACAAAACGGAGTCACTCACCAACGGCCAATAACAAAAACCGCGATGTTTTAAAAATGTCAATAAAAAGACTATGAAAGAAATAAAGAAAATTCTTATTTTCTTATAAATTATTGGTGACGCCAAATTACAACTACAATTGGCGTTTTATGAAAAAAAAAAATTGCGAACTGCTTCAAGTAAATTGGGGTTAAAATAAGATGCAAAGATGAGGAAGACGACCTAACACTCGCTAAACTTGCTGGCCAAACAGTTCAAGAAGAATTGCGCTTTCAAAAGATTGAGTTCGAAGGATATTCATTACTTTTATAATGATTTAGTCGCCTGTAGAGAACTTACTGATGCTGATATATGTTGCCGTCTACTAATGCAGAAGCGGATGAAGACGAGGAAGAAGGGGGTGAAATTAATTAGCATAACTTCACAATGCTTTCAAATATATTTCTCAGTGACAATGAAATCCATCAAGAAATTGAATTCAGCTTTAGATGAGATGGGATGGGTGCTAAACAGACAACCATTTATGTTGTTGTTTCTAATCAAGAAAAACAAAATTGAGATTAAGCTCTGTAAGTTTAACGAATTACTTGTAATTAAATATTTACCGTGTGTACTGTGCTCTATTTATATCTATCGCAGTGTTTCTTTGTTTTTCTTGTAAACCTTTTTTCTTCTTTGGGTCTTAAAACGATGGTGTATGATTGTGGTGAAACAGACCATGCTGGCAAAAAAAACTGTCTTGATTTCGAAGGGTTATTTTGAGGCATTTATTTTCGAGAACAGACGGTCCGTATCGTAGCCTCGGGAAGACCAAATGATTTTCACTAAAAACGCATCGAAGGTACTACTTTTATTTCAAGCAAATCGAAGCATGTAAACGATTTCTCCGATTGTTTACTGGTCCACTTGCCGGAAGAAAAGTTTTCCACTTAACTTTATTTAATCATTTGGGAATGAAAAATACTTCTACTATCGATTTATGTGCTGAGTGCTTCTAAAGTGCTTCTAAGGTGCTTCTAAAAAATCTAAATAAAATGAAATAGATGAAGATAAGTATTTAGTTGTTGACTGTCCGGAAAGTGTGAGACAAGCCCGATATACCCAAATACACTTTCATATTGGTATCTAAGATTGTTTTATTATCAACTGACAACTGAGAACTGGAAGAGATACACGTTGTGTCCAAAAAATTACCGAACTTTATATATAAATCATACAACATACAGCGCCATCTATTGAACAAGATTAAAAAGATGCATTCATACTCTTTCAAACGCTCCTAACATCATGTAAGTCGGATGACAGATGTAAAAGTGACAGCCATTTAATAAAACCAAAAGTGTGCCAATGGTTCAAAAATAAAATGGAGCAAAGAGAAAATATAAAATTTTATGTTAAACTTGAAAAAAAATTAATGATAAAAGTTTATTGTGATGATTGTATGAGTCGTACGCAAGTTTATACGTGGTTTACACGACTTAAAAATGGTCGTGAGGAATTAAATGACGACCCTAGACCAGGACGCCCAGAAACCAGTAATCGTGCTAAACTGTTAGAAAAAGTCCGTTGGCTGAGGAATTGAATAGAAGTAAAAAACGATTTGGAGAATTTTAACTGAAGATTTGGGCGAAAGAAAGGTCTGTGCGCGATTTGTTCCACATGAATTAAATGACGACCAAAAAATCGCTCGAATTTTTAATGAAAAAAAAGGGATTTCTCTTATCGACCATCCTCCGTATTCGCCTGATCTATCACCATGTGACAATTTTTTATTTCCAAAACTGAAAACCAAGATGAAGGGAGCCATTCAAGCAGCCGTAACCGAGGTACTGAAGAACATTTCTATAAATCACAAAAAAAATCTATGCATGCGCTGGTTGATCGTTCCAAAGCCTCCTCATCTTCTTGATGATTCTTTTTTTTAAGAGATAAAGGTTCATTCTTTCAAATAAAAGTTTAAGTGACACCTAATTATTTTTTAATTCCTAAGGTTCTCTTACACAGTACAACACCTGTCGGGTTATCGAATCCCACAAGACTTTCGTGATCAGAAGTTGAAAAAAGAATTTCTGCGTCATACGTTTTGCCTTCTTAGCTCATATAAGAATCCGAGAGCATTGGTTTATTAAGCGTGGTTTGCGTAACAAGACAACAATAATTCCGCGTGAATAACATTTGAAAAAGCAGGAAAACTTTCATTTCAATACAAAGCGTGAGCGTTTTCACCAAATCACGAACCAAATGGAAACGCGATACAAGGAAAAAACTGGAGGAATCGTTTGCAAAAGTATGTTGGTGGTCAAGGAAAATAAGCCAATTTGAAAATGAATACACCGTAGAAGAAGGTGATGTTCCTGTTGTTGTTGCCGCTGATGATATTGCTGATGATGATGATGATGAACCACCCTTGCGGAGAATGATGCTATCATAAATATAGGCATATTAGGCATAATGGCATAAAGAGAATTGAAAATCAATGGTTTGATTAGAAATAAAGAGAAAAAAACGGTGAAAAATGGTAATATTTCTGTTTTGGAGCCAAAAATGAATGTTTTTTGGTGGGTTTGTTTTGTGATTTTTGTCAGATACTAAAGCAATATACCGTATTAAAGGTAATGCTCACTGATTCTTAGATGAACTAAGAATACAAAACGAAAACGTCCACATTCAAATTCTGATGCCGAAGCTCTTGTTCAACATCAAGGTCAACATTTTATTTTATTATAAATATGTATTTTTAAAATTACTTTTTGTGATTGGCATATGAATGACTGCGCTTCGACAGATAGTTTTGCTTAAAAGTGTAACCCTCCAATGTCTTTTAGCATAATAAAAATGTTTTAAGGGAAAAGTTCTACCGAATTCTACCAGAAAAGTCCTCATGAACTTTAAATTTTTCGGTTGAGTTTAACCGTCACATAACTTCCGCAAACATGCTTCTTTCGTTACCGCAAAAGTTCTCTCAGACTAAATTTTTATTTCGTAAAAACTTAACAAGAACGTTTCACTTACATATCTGTCTTTCCTTACTCAAGTTAGGCCACAATCGAAAAGTGTTCGAGTATTTTCTTGATTCCAAGAGGTTTTTATGTGGGAGAATTTTCCAATATTTTGAGCCGCTTCCTTTGGATTCCAATTTTATTGGTTGCAAATTCATTTTACTTTTTCGATTTTATTTTTAACTCAGCTGTAGCTCAAAGAATTATTTTTAGAATTTGAACGTAGATACTTAGGTACATATGTACATATGTAGGTAGATACTCGGTACTGTAGTTTGTATGTACTACACGCAGTTGTTGCAGTTTTTGTCTAGATGAGATCAGTTCAGACTCAGCGAAAATCTGCATGTAGAAGCAAAAAGCAAACAAAGTGCATATACGTATATATATATATGTATGTAGTCAGGCATGCAGCTAAATTTCTTCATTTATCATTGTGTGTAAAACGTGTCAACACTTTAAAATGCGTTCATTTGTTTCCAATTTAAAAATAACTACAACAACTTACAGATGAGCAAGACGTCCCAGCGCAGACACTTGCTTGCAAACATCGCCGCATACATACAAACATACGTGTACATGTAGATAAATATGTGTATAGACACAAGGAGTATGCGTACTCGACGTTGACGTATAAATGTGGGTTAAATGTATCTTCGCCATAAAACCATATGGAAGTTACCTATATGTACATATGTACATATGTATGAATATTTTTTCAACATTTAGTTGAGCACATACATACATATATGTGTGTGTGTGTGTGCGCGCGCTTAGTGTAAGTAAATCCACTTGTTTGCTATTATCAACCGAAACTACATATTTAAGCAGCTTTGCAGAAGTGCCTCCCATTAGCTTTAACGCCTTGTCGCCTTGCCTCGCTGATTTGTTTATTTGCATATGAGCACATACTCATTATATATTCCTTTTACACTTGTGAAAATTACAGTTGGAGTATTGGAGAAATAAGCAAAATGCCGGAAAAGTGCCTTGATTTTGCCAAAGGAAACCAAAGAGAGAATTCCATTGGTGTGAGTTCGAGCGACAGCGCCAATAGTGTGTACAACTGTAAACAGGGAACTACTGTTAGCAGGTGAAAAATCACTACTACAAATAAATGTTTTTATATAGATGTTGTTAGATATTGTTGGCTTTGACTTTTCTTTTATTCCCGCATGTTTGTATTGAGCCTTTCGCATGTTTTCGAATTTACGTTTCTATCTAGTTAAAATTCGGTGCTTCAGAATATTAGTATGTATGTACACATGTGTAACAATCTATTACGATATGGTTAGAAATAAAAATATTTAGCATACCTTTAGGCGCGCTCACATTGGCTCGCCATGAGTGTACGTGTATACTAAAAATGTAGTACAAAACAGCTTTCTTAATTTAAATTACTTTAACATAATTTTATTTCCTTCGAAATCTAATTTCAGATCGAATTGCATCCCAACGAAATCACCAGAACAAATCAATTTCAAAAGTAATCATTACAAGCCAAAAGTAGACAGTGAAAGCCGCCGTCATTCAGTGGACAGCGCAAGTTCTATATTCGAGACGAAAACGGGTTGTTGTTGTCCGAATCATTCAGAAGTTTCGAGATTGTGTTGGAAAACAAAACGAAAACAATTAATTCGAGAAAGTTCGCATGCTTCTGGTTTAACTATTAATGGTATGTAATTGAATTATTATTCAAGTAACTAAATTTAATAACTTGTAAAAATTAAAATTACAACAGCGAAGACCATTTAAAGGCCCCTAGCAAAGCCTAGTGATTTTATTTGCAAAAAATGCTGCCTAATTTTAAGTTTTTAAATGGTACTAGCTAAGCTCCTAAAAAGTAGTTCCAGCAACAAGAACATCAACACTTTTTAATGCTAATAAGGCAACAATTTATTATGTTCTTGTAGAAGGGTAGAGAAACTACTCTGTCCCATTTTTTACCTAGTTTTAATCATAACATATTTTAACTGAATTCGGAAAATTATATTCAAAACTACCGCGGCGATTTTCGGGACATTTATTTAAAAAAAAAAACTCTTTTTATTGGCTCATTTGTAGACTAGATGGAATTCTTCTCGTAGTATCTGGTCTAAAAAGTATAAAGTTAACATATGGTCATACCTCTAATGTTATGTGAAGTGAAAAAAGGCCCATGCCAAAGGATTATAGTACAATATTTTGACGAAAGGCGAGACTAATGAGTCCTTTTTCAACATAATTACAAAAACCAACAAATTCGCAGGCGATAAAATCAGAAGTCTATTAGTATAGACATTCTTCAGTCTATTCCAAAATATTAAAGGGTTTATTTTTTATTTAATTTTAATCATTCGTCAATTCGACATTTTGTTTCATTATACTTTCATTATACTTTTTATGTTATGTTTCCATTTCACTTTTATGTAAATAACTTAGTTAGAGGAAAGCCGATAGGTTTGTAAAACCAAAGAATCGAATATAACTTAATCTAGCTTACTAACTTTAAATAATTTTTTTTCTCGGAATAGAATCTGCCATCCATGCTGCTTCTACCTGCAACAAAACGAAATGCGGTAGGCGTCTTGAGCTTTGCCCAACAAATAGGTGGGCCAACAGTTTGTACTAAGCCTCCCTTGAACGGCCGATGGATTTTTATTAGGAGCTTTTTTATTTCATGTTAAAGATACACTCGGATGGCTTGCGACATTGTTGACACGTCGTAATATCCTCAAAAAGACATTGTTTGGTATGATCTATGGCCATAGGCAATCGTTGGTCCATATTTTTTCAAAGATGGAGCTGGTCATAATGATACATGCAAAGGGGAACGCTATAGGGCTATGACTAATGACATTTTCGTGCTTGAATCGGAGGATGTAGAGATAGACGAACTTTTGCGCAAACAAGATGGCGCTACATGCCATACAGCCAACGAGACAATCAATTTATTGAAGAAAACTTTTGGTGATCGCATTATTTCGCGTCGTGGACCTATGTCATTGCCTCCATTGCGTTTCAACACCTCTGGACTATTTTATGTGGGATTATTCGATCTAGATTGATTACGACTTTTGAGACTTGTTCATTTTTATAAAAATGCTTTTCCAAAATCTAAAGAAATTATTATTATAAAATTTTGAAAATCCATTAATTTTACAAGACACTTTAACTAGGAAATCATTTATCAAAATATTTGTTTCACTTTCAAAGTAAATTATAGACATATTTTGTTTTGGTGATAATAATTATTTTTCAAGTTTAACTTAAACACTCAAGCAATAAAGTAAAGCGTGGTTGTGGTCCGAATGCGTTCATTCTTTCGCCTCATACATATTTTTTGAAGATTATCTTTTTCAAATGTTTGCCGAGGTACGTCTCAGATGGTCCATCCGTTGAGTCTAATTTGCGATGAGTTGTTCGAGCACTGCCACACGAAAGTCTAACGGTGTGATATCACACGATCTTTGTGGTCAATCGACCGACCCAAAACTTGAAATTATGTGCTCACCGAAGTGTTCTCTCAGTAAGTCCATTGATTGATGCGATGTGTGGGAAGCGGCACCGTCTAGTTGAAACTAAATGTCACGAGCTTCAATTTCAGGCATCAAATGGTCGGCTATCATGGCGCGATAACGGTCACCATTAAAGGCTACGTTTTCTCTCGTCCCGCCTACTACACCAAGCATGTTTTTCTTGGATGAAATGGCAGCTTTAGAATTTATTCAGGTTGCTCTTCGTCCCAAATGCGGCATTTTTACTTGCTTACATACCCATTGAGCTTGAAATTCTCCTGATCGCTGAAAAAATTTGGCTGGAAAATGTCGGATCTTCTTGGAACTTTTCAAGATACCATACAGCGAAGCGATGTCACTTGGGAAGGTTAAGTGGTTTCATTTCTTGTACAAGCTGTATTTTGTCCGCTTTCAATGTAAGATCTCGACGTGAAATGTGCCAAGTCGATCCACACGTAAGTCCGAATTGCTGCGCGTACACTCTCAGCTGCGGCAGGTATATTTTCTTCTCTGCTAGTTGGACGTGGTATATTCAGTCGAATATTCTTCAGTAATGAATGCTGAGTCTTAAGATGGGTGATGGTATTGCGAACAGTACGCTCAGTAGGCCGATAAGTTGAGCGAAACGCGCGTTGAAGGATTTGCGCAAATCATTCCATAACGAAATGCCAAGCAGCACTGAATAAAAAAAAACATGAAAGCTTGACGCAACTCCCGCGTAATCTTTGATAAACTTCTTGACCCAAAGCACAGTGGTTTCACGGCTTATGCATTTAACTGCACTGATATATACATATCTATGTCTATAGTTCCTGATTTATCGCGATTTTCTTAATAAAAACCAATTTTTTTTTCAATTGCGGTCACTTCTCGGCTGAAAATGTCGGGACCTCCGAGTGTTTTGCTGAAAGCGCCTGATAGAAATCCATTGTCCCGAGTTATCCAAGCATTATTTTCACTTTAGTATGTATGAGCTATCCAAGGGCTTTGGGCCCTTGGGACCATTTCAATTCCACCGTCAAATACTCTCAAAATGTGAAGTTTTCATTAAGTCATAAGGCGTAGAGCATAAGTAAATGTTTACATTTGCATATACGAATATATTTAGAAGTAGACGCATATTCTCATTTGGTGTATTATATAATATACTATAGTACATACGTTCCTCTATGTGCAGAGTTGGCACACATTTCATCTTTCATTTCATCGTATATCATTCGTGTTCACTCCAAGTAGCGCTGGAAGAACTCTACACACAAACAACCAAACATTTACATATGTATATGTACATACGTAAATACCACACACAGTTCTGTTGACATACATATAGAAACTAAGCTGAATAATAAAATATGAATTCAGTGTTTTATTGTTAGCATCAGAGACTTATTTTTAGAACAAATGTCTCATATTTTCCGTTTTAATTTCTATTTTCCACCAACTGCATGCAGCTAGGATAGCCAAAGAGACAACAACAATTGAAGGCGCAATAGCAACAGCAACAACGACCCCAAAACCAAGAGCGAGAACAACAAAACCAACTTCATCACAATTGGCAACGTATCGCGGCCGAAATGCAGGCTTCGGCAGCCATCACACACTTTTAGCGAGCTCCCGGCGAGATGCGTACCAAAAGAACGATTGTGTGAACAAAGTAATATCCACATCGCTGCCGACTACACCAAATCTGAGTCGATTGCGACGGCCGAAACCCGTGCAATACCAGAAGTTGCCGCTGGAGGCCGCCAGTGCGGATGATGATGTGAGGCAGTTGCAGAGTCAACAGTACGCTAACAGCTTGCAACAGCTGCAGATGTCAACAAAGAAATTGCAAAATACTGCGTGCGAATCGAGTAACGAGCGGTTGAAACGACAACAACAACAACAACGACAACAACAACAACAATTGCAGGAAGAAGAGCTGTCAGAGCAGCAGCGGCAGCCAAGGCAAATGATCATTGGCAGTGTGTTGCCGGCAGTGGGAGTCGATAAGGATGGCGCGAGTGCAGAATCAATAACAGTGGCTGAAGCACAAAGCGAAATCACAGAAACGAATAATATCCACAACAATAACAATAACAATAAGAAAAATCTAAATAAAAACACACCGATTGAGGTCTCCGCTGTGACACCTCGTCCATTATCAAAATCAAACAACTTGCCCACACAACCACCATATGAACAACTCAATACCAACAACAATAATAACATAATCAACAGCATCAACAAGACGAACGATCACAATGACGAAAATAACGGCCACGCGCCCTTATTATTATCTCGGCTCCCACTTCCCATGCCACAGCCGGTCCCATCGACAGCCGCATTCATCGCAGCATCGACCATCACATCCACATCCGCCAACTCAACCATCTCAACCCACTCAGCAGTTGTTGGCAAAAACACGCTTGCTTTTTGTGAGCACTGCTGTGAAAGCGCTAGTATGGCCAGCAGTGAGTATGCTCATGGCGCATACGCCGAGCGCAAAAAGAATTTCAACGGTGAGGACTACGATCGAAACTGTGGCGAGTACATCGATTCAGTCTCCGATCTGTCGTCATACCGATTCGTTTCCGATGAGGATGAATTAAGTGCGTGCATTGTCGCCGATATCGAAATTGCTGCCACAGAGGAAAATTCCAACAATAAAACTAGATATTACAAAATCAAAAGAAACAACAACAGCTCTAATAATAACAACAATACAGAACAAGTAGGAATATCAACTAAAAATCGTCGCGTCTCTTCCACCGCACCGTCGGGAAAGCAAACGAAAGCGCACACAAATACGTGTTCGGTCCCCGCAGCTACGCCGTCATCGCGATCATCGTCGTCGCCAGTGCAAACGAGTGTTCCGCTGCCAACATTGTTGTCACCCGCCGCAGTTCAAGCAACAAAAGCAACAGGGCCACGTCGCGCTTCGCCCACCATTTGTTGTTATACAATTGACAAACCGGTCAGCATACATTATAACGCGACTATTTTGGAATACATACCGAATGAAATAACAAATACAACATTACCAACACCCACGGCTGGGTCTATATCCGCAACAGCTCCTGTGCCAATTCCGCTAACCAATACCGAAAGGAGTGTCTACAGATTACCACCGGAAGCGAAAGAGCCGAACGAGCTCCTATGTGATGCAGTGATTTTATCTACTTCCCTGCCAAGTGATTATGGTAGTGTGAAAGGTACCGTAAGCCAATATCAGTTGGCGCAGTATTCGCCTCGAAAAAACAAACCGAAACCGCCTGATCCGCCTCCCAAACCAAAACAAGAAGGACGTACCATTTACCAGACCACCATTTATTCGAGCTCAAACGCTTTAACGCCGGATAATCGCAATGTTTTAGTAAACCATTTCCACAACGGCGAACAGATTTGTAGTAATGGACAAAATATACAAAGCAAATTGAGAAAGTTTGAGCAATCGACCTCACTAGCTGGTGGATCAAGATCGGCAAGTTATATATCGTCTGTTAATTCAAAAAACGCTGGACATTATACCGTCGACGAGTTTCACAATACCGAGGAACGTTGGCCGCTTTCGTCGCGTTCCCTCGAACGGTCCGTTTCACCAGAGCATTGTCAATTGTTGAGTTGCTTTGGAACAGTTAAAAATACTCGAGACGAGTCTGCAAGCATCAAATCAAAAACAAACGAAAATAAAAACGACGAACAACGAACAGATGACGCACGGCGAAGCAACGACACTAGCCGTCCAAGTGAAGACCGTTTAAAGAGAAACGAACAACAAATATACAACGACAAGGAAACGAAAACTGTCGCGCGTAGTTTAAGCGAAAGCAGCTGTTTGGTGTCGGTGGCAACGCCAATTGCCAATGAAAAGTGTGCCATCAAAAATAAAAATAATCACCAACAACAACACCAACCACATGAGATACTCATACAATCACTAATACCAACAACACCGCCATCGAGCGCACATCATCATAACAAGATTAATAATAATATTAATAATAAACGGCGTAATTGTGGTGACTCCGAGCAAATTCAGCGAAGTGCAGCCAACAGGAAAGAATCAGCGTCGACAAGTGTTTATACTGTCGCAACTGTAAGTGACGGTGCGCGCGACGACCTGACCGACACGTTTAACGCGTACACCTTAACTAACAGTGCTGGTAGTAGCGCTTGTGGGGAATGCAATAACAACTATAATTGTAAGACAAGGTGTCACGCAGAATATTCATATTCACCGATATCTGCGTCAACTGCGTATCCTTTTACTGCCGTAAGTGCCGAGTCGTCGCGACAAAGTTCGCAGTCATCAGTATCCTACTTGTCATCGCCCTTGCCGAAACATACGCTCCGTTACGATAGTTACGGTCGCTTGAAATCGGAACGTGTTTCGCGTCTTCCCACTACAACCAGATCGTTGACCAATGGTCGCAAAGCGGCTAGTGAGACGCGTCTGCATCGTACGTATCAAAATGTGTCCGTGCCTCCGAATTACGATATCGCCTTTTCGTTATCAGCAACTAATGTTAAGCTAACACCAATTTTGTGCCGCAAATTTAACTATTTAAGTGATAAATTCGAAGACTGTGTTGTCGAGAGTGAAGAAGTAGATGGGGATACGTGTGTATCGGAAAGTGCAAATGAACAAGCACAAAAGGGTCAAGGCATAGAGGAAACTGTGCAAAATCGAGATGAAAATAATGTCGGTACAGAACAAATCTCGTCGGTAAAAAATACAAATACAACAAAAGTGTTGCCGTCAACGACGGATCGACATGACACATCTCGCTATACTATTGATAATAATCTGAATTTGAATTTTACAAAGACTATACCACCAGAACAAAAGATTTATAAATCGTTAAGTGATACCCAAAATTTTGTGTCGAACCATAAAGAAGGGTTAGACAAAACCAATAATATAAGTGAGAAGCGCTTCTTTAGTGATTATTCACTCGCAGCAGACTTTGCTGAGGCTGATTGTAGTTTGCCTTGTCAGTGTTCGTCCAAAAAAGTCGCTGTAGTGACTGGACAGTCTTCACCCGTATCTCCCACTTCGCTAACTTTGCCGATCTCACTGCAGCCACCAAAATCATCTGGTGCTTTGAATCATAAGAATTCTCAGTCGCTACCAAGTGTTCCGCAATCGAACGGAACTCAGAGTCCGCTGTGGCTTAGCACTGAGGCTATCGGATCGCCGCGTCTGTTGGAGCGCAAACCTATTTTGGACGACGTGCAATCGAACTGTAGTGATCAGACTACTATTTTTCATTTCGACAAGGAGTGTTCTCTATCGGCTACGTCCTTGTCCTCTACATCACAATTAGCTGCTGAATCTGGCGGCAGTGCTCTGCACGGCCCAGTTGTGCTAAAACGTATTCCTGCTATACATTCGTTTGGTCATATTCCATCAATCGGGACGTGCTCTGAGAGCAGTGCTAATGCTCGCGAAAGCGCCGGAAAAGAGGTGAGTACAGTTTTGACCCGAAATTGTTCCGAATTTGCAAAACATCTTCTCTCCATATGAACTTGAACTATATTTTTTTTTGTTGAAAAAAGTTTTCGAATGATATTTTTTAGCTGCGAAATTGTTGAAATACGTCAGAAGGGCTTTCTAATGCTGACGATGAGGTTTTGAACTGTGAGAAACATTAAAAAAGCTCAATATGATTCATGGGATTTAAAATAACGGTGAGGTAATATTTACTCGTTAAGTAAATAATTAGATCCGATAATTTTTACAAGGTGTATGTTTTACATCAGGCACCGGGCAAAAAGTGCGATGAGTTCAGACAACTCCATAAAAAATATGTAGATAATGCATCCCTCTGTGTGGATTAAATTGTTCTTTTTGTGTTCGAGTACTCATATAAAAAGAGTAATTGCTTCACTGCATCTAGAGCAGATCGGCTTACACATAAGGCTGGCTCTAGGTTTTTTTTTCCAAATTTAATGGGAAATGTTTATTATCAATCGAAAAAATATTCTTTCACTTTTATTTTTTCCGATGAGCCCAATTTTCGATGACTCGTTCCAAAATTTCGACTGGCAACTGGCCGGAAATGTTCCTCATCGCTGAACAAAATTTAGCTGGAAAACGTGATGCCGCTTGCGAAGGTGGAGTGGCTTCAGTTCTTGCACAAGCTGTATTTTGTGCGCTTTCAATTTGAGATCTCGACGTAAAGTACGCCAAATCGTTCCACACATCAGTTCGAGTTTCTGCGAACGGCGCTGAATCGACTGTCCACGATCTTAGTGTACACTCGCAGCTACGGCCGCGCTATTTTCTTCAATGTGAACTGGACGTGGTCTATTCGGTCGAATGTTTTCCAATAATGAATACTGCGTCTCAATATGGGCGATGGTCTACGCTCAGTAGGCGCCGATTATGTTGACCATAAGTTGCGCGTGAAATACATTCCTTACAAAACCTGAGTTTTTGTAATAAAACTAAACGATTTGTTAACGTTTTTCAGGCGTACGTCTGTTCATGATGAAATGCCAACAACACAGAAAAAGGCGTGTCTGCTGGACAGGACACGTGATCTGTCGAAAAAGGCAATTGAATAAAGTAGCCCACAGAAAGTTGAAAGATAAAATTTTAACCATAGATAGAGTGAGCATATCTTCCCAAGTTTGGTCCCACATAAAATTGGAAATTAAATTCTTACCATAAAAAGGAAGAAAAAGTTTGGTTTATTGTAAATCGCGTGTTACGAAAAAGTAATCAGAAATAAAGTATGTTGTAATTAGTAGATTGGGGCAATATAAAACTGTTAAATTAACTAAAAACTAAAAACACTTGCTGTGCGGCTTTACTTCACTTGACTAGCTTTAAATGGTTATAAAGACTGAATGGGACAAATATGATATATGTATGTAGGTCTATTAGAAAATGTGCAGCACTTCATGTGGTTAAAGCTAAGCCTCAGCCTCATTTGGACGCTTACGTCTATACGTTAAGTTATATGCTATTTTAATGGGTCTCACATATAAATACTCTATAAGGTCATGCGCCTTCGGCTTGTGGTCTCGCTTATCTTTCTGAACGCCGAGTCGATGCTGCAAATGATGATTCACATAATTAATTAATTTGCTTTCAATTAATTTATAAAATATAGTCAGTGCCGCCGAATAAAAATTATTAATTACTTTAAAAATTTATTTAAGGTTAAATACGAAATTAATATTTATGTTTTTTTATTCGGCGATTTCATTGTTTTCAAAAGCTTTAGTAATAAACTTTTATTAGTTTGCTTGACCAGATGGGTAACAGTGGGCTACTATGATGTGGGCTATTATGATGTGGGCCAAAGGTTTAAATCTTGTTTAGACTAAGCTCAGTTTTCATTGCAGTACGTAAAATTCCTTAATTTTATATTATACTCGTATATAGTCTAATAGCGAAAACATAATTTTTTGACTTATTGAAATGATTTCTATTTGAATGCTCACGTAGAATACATACAATAAAATTTAAATCATATATTTGAATTTATTAAATTTTTAATAGATTTATTAAAGCCTAACTATAAGCTTTAAAATGTTATAGCTGGAGAAATACAGCCTTAACCAATTGGCAGTAATGGAAGACGGTTAAAATATTGCTCTTCAAAAGATTGGAATGCAGCTTAAATTACACCAAATACGAGGTATATACATGTACTGAGGCTCTCACGGCCTGAGGGATATTTTCTTTATTTTGGACTGGTTTGATGCCAGCATGTTGAGGACTGTCGATGCGTAAACAATGCCAATCTAGTCTACCGCCGATTGCGTAGTACATCCCTTATTTCCTTTCGAAACTAAAGACCTTGTTTCAGATTTATGGTGAGATGAAAACTGCGCAAGGCAATAGTGCTGTGAATTATGTGAGTGTGTAGAAGCGGCATGGCGAGTTTAAAAATGTTCGCACGTCTGCATGACAATGCTAGACCGCAAACGACCCACGCCACGATGGAACTGCTTTCATCATTTAAAAGGAATGCCCTAAACCGTCCCTACTCTCTCTCTACCTCCCTGAAGCAGTTACAACATTTTCAACCTACGAGGAGGTGGAGGAGGAGATAGATTGGTTGGGAACTACTTCGAGGAAGATATCAAAAAATGTACATATACTTCTTTTCACCACATGCAAAGAGAGAAATGTCGACTACATTATGTACTAACGTATTGAGTAATTTTTGTTTAGACTACTTTTAGGAGACAAATAAATTTTTGTTTGGCTTAACTTAATCTGAAATATTTGGAGTATATATAATATATATACGAGTAATTGGCGCTTTGTAACCTTTGAAGCGAATTTCGGCCGAACTCCTCCTCCAAAATGGAGTTTCCTACAGATTGTATGAAGCCGCCTCCGAACGGCTAACGGTTTTTTATGAAGAGCTTTATTACATGTCAGAAATACACTTGGAGGAGTTGTCATTCCCTGCCGAGGGGCGACAACAATTAGAAAAATTAGCTTAATTTCTATTTAATTTTATAATCGTACTACACCAGGATTTGAACCTCAGCTTTCCGAATGGTAGTACGCAATGCTAACTACTCGGCTACCGCGGCGATAAACACATGAAATTAACTCTTAATAATTTGCATGGATTATTGGTTAATTTATATATACGTATATAAGGATTTGTACTGAGTGACTGATAGATCAACTCAAAGCCTTAACCACTGATGGTAGACATCTGAAACTTGGAGGCTGCCTCTTCTGTTTGAGACAGGCATCCGATAAGAAAAGATTTTCTGGAAGTTGGACCTGGGACCGATCTAATCTAAACATTTTCATTTATCGTTTGATTTACTTAAAATGTGGAACAGAAGAAACTTTGGGCCTAAATAAATATGGGGTACACTTTTTTCCGGGCAGTGGGCATGGAATCGATTCGATAGTTCGGTTTTTCTTATTATCCAAAACACATATATAACTTATGCGATCTTTTCAAAAAATAGTATTCAAGTATTTCATAGATTTGCTCTTTGCCTATGTGGAAAGCTCTTATTTCTTTCTCATACGTTTTAACATAATGGTCTAAAAGTTATAAAAAAAATACACTTATAAATGAAAATGTAATAAATATGTAATAAAGTTTTGTTAAGTAGCATTTTATAATTTCACGCGGACAAAAGCTAGTTCACAATATTTTCGCAGAATATCTCACTTAAAAACCCATCACTCAAAATCTTCTATCTGAGCAGTCAGCTGGACTTCATGTTTAATTATTTCCTTTCAGTTTCTAGATATTAACGGTGAAGTCGAGGTACTTAATAGACCTTGTTTAATAGACCTTTTTTGACAGATCACGTCAAGGAAAGACTTCCGCTGGAACAATGCTAACAAATCGTTCACTTTTAGTACGAGAATTCACTTAATGGTCGCTCAATTAATGGTCGCACTGAGCGTACACCATCACCATTTGAGACGCAGTATTCATTATTGGAAAATATTCGATTAATAAACCAAGTCGTGCTCGCATTGAAGAAAATATAGCGCCTGTAGCTGAGAGTAGTGATCCGATTCGGCGCCGTTCGCAGAAACTCGAACTGATGTGTGGAACGTCTTGGCGTACTTTACGTCGAGATCTTAAATTGCAAGCGCACAAAATACAGCTTGTGCAAGAACTGAAGCCACTCCACCTTCGCAAGCGGCATCACTCCACACTACGGGCTCTTGAAAAGTTCCAAGAAGATTCGACGTTTTCCAGCCAAATTTTGTTCACCGATGAGGCCGATTTCTGGCTCAATGAGTAAACAGCAAGATTGCCGCATTTGAGACGAAGATCAACGTGAATAAAATCTTGAGGTGCCATTACACGCAAAAAAAAGACGGTTTGGTATGGATTGTGGTCCTTCAATCCGTCAATAGCGACCGTTATCGCAACATGATAATCAATGTCTGATTGCCAATTGAAGCTCGTGATCTTTGTGAGATTTGGTTTCAACAAGGCGGCACCCCTTCCCACATATCACATCAATCAATGGATTTTATAACGCCTTAAGTCTACGTGTACAATTTCGCTTGGATTTAGGCCTTGGAGCAAAACATCAGGCTTATCATTCGGCATTTACCAGTCGAAATGCTCCATCGAGTAATCGAAAATTGAACTCGACGGATAGACCACTTGGGACGGAGCCACGGACAATATTTGAAAGAGATAATTTTAAAAAAGTTAATGCCAAGGATGTTCTTTCGAATGATAATAAACATTCCGCATTAAGTTTGAACTTTCCGTATTTTTTGCTCTAAAAAAGTAGGAAACTTCGATTTTATGCTCATATGCTTAGTGTGGCAATTGCTCTTCAACAAAGTGAATTTATAATGAAAGCAAACAAATTTACTGAGCAATTATATACATATGTACATATGCACGTACTTCTTATGAATACAAGGAATTTATCCTCAATTCAGTTTCAAGTCCAAGTGTGCTTACATTTTTTTTGCAAGAAAATTCAGGGGGTATTTTT